GACTGAGAGCCTTGTGTCCTACCGAAAAGCACACGGTGACTCTTCACAGAAGGAGGGCTTTGCTAGGAAGAAATGAAGCGACAGCCTTCTCTGTTGCTTATAAATATAATTTATTACCTGTTTAAAAATTATTTCTTACATTTTGTACATATTGGCTGACAGAATAAATGCAGGCAATTTACAAACCAAGGGGACTGCAGGAAGGTGGGGAGAGGCGGCCGGAGAGGAGGCTCCCCGGGAGCCGGCGCCCCCGCCCTGCCGCACACCACGCAGTGGCCGTCTCCTCCGGGAGCATCTCCTCCACCAGGGGGTTTCTAGAAAAGGAATTGCATAGAAGATACAGCGAGAGGGAACTCCACAACAACAAAAGAGTGTTCCATATCTGAAAAGCCAAGGCTGTATTGTTGTGTTTAAAAAAAGAAAAATGACAAAGCACAAAACCTCCATCTGACATTTCTGCCCTTGATCCGTTCCAAAGGGAACAGCAGGTGGATGACACAGACCTTCAACACAGGCTGCTGGGGTTTTTCTCTGACAAACATTGGTTGTCTTCTTTAGAAGGAGCAAAGAGGAAGGTCACCAGCTTGCTATAGCTCCACACTAAGCTCAGAAACACACAGCACGGTGACATCCAGACACACACGGAGTGATGTTCCTGCCACTGGGCTGTGCACTCTGCCCGGAGGGTGAGGCCTCCCTGCCAACAGAAGGTCTAGGAAAGGATGAAGGGAGAAGGCCAGTCACAGACCACACGTTCAACCTGTTCTTTCTGCTGCCTCTTTCTCCTCCGGCCTGGAGGAGTGTCCATTTGTATTGATAACCCTACATTAGCAGGTGTCCTAAGAGACTTTAAAAATATGAAAGGGCAAAGGCATTTCCCACTGGCCATAGCTTTCTTTCTCTCTGATGCCATTCTAGAGCAGATTCAACATGGCCAGCATCGCTCAGGCCATGACCCTTGGATGTTGCCTCATCGAGCTGAGGTTCAGAGGCCAAGGACTCATCATCCCTGAGGATGCCAATCAGCAAAACCTGCCTGTGGCCCAGGTTCTGCACTCCAGCCGGAGAGCTATGACCTGGGGTTGGTGCCATCAGGTTCAACAGCCGGTCTGACACTGTCAGTCCCAGGTGACCTTTGGGATTGAAGAATGGTGACACATAGGATTTCGGCATATTTGAAAAGGGCCCTGAAGTTGTATGGCCGAGGGAGCTAAAAGTGTTGCTGAGGCACAGATCTGAAAGGGCGTGATGATGGTGTACAGTGGTAAATGCTTTGGCTGGTGGGCATCTGATGGAATCTTAGGGCAGCGTCCATTTTCTACCCAACAGTGGGGGGCCGTGACCCTCAAGACATTCTGCATGGATTTCTGACTCAGGATTCTGGAAGATCTCTGGACAGATTGCAATATCCAAGAGTCCCGTGGACAGTGGGACAGGAAATAGCCCCTTACCAGGGCTTACACGCTCATCCATTTGTGGCATTTCTGTCTTCCTGGTGATGCCTTCCTGGACCATGCTAACCCAGGTCTGGGCATACATTACATTTGGTCGAATGAGCCCATTGTTACCCCACCAAAAATCAATGCAAGGAGGTGACAGGCCCACTGGAAAATCTAGGAGCCATGAACTCTTCTGAAGATACATTTTAAACGTAGGATTTCTGAAAATAGGGACAACCACAAGGCCGATAAGCTTAAAGGATCAGGAGGTTAATTGTCAGTCTTAGTCTGTGGAGAAAACCCACCCAGTGAATGCAAAGGCCATCTCCCCACTTTACAAAAATAACAGGTTTTCAGGCATGAATTCTGGAAGGATTTATGACTCCATTTGGTTTACTTGACCTGTAGGGACATAGGCTTGAATTGACATTGGCTACAATGTATTTATTCCCCTTATGCCTTATTCCTTTTAAAAAAGTCTTGAGAGATACAAGGGAACTCTTTCAAAATGATCGTTACAGTCAAAGACTATACAAATAGATTTCTTAGGGTAGAGAAACACTTCATTGCACAGTGGCAAAGTTCTAAGAATTTCAGTCAACATTAGCTCAGTAAAGTTTAAAAAAAAAAAATACAAAATCACAAAAAACCCAAAGTGTAATAGTTGGTCCTACGAGGCACTGGAAAGGTTAAAAAAAAAAGTTTTATTACCTTGAGATACTAATAAAAGTATTTCTCTTATTGGATCTATACATTTTAATGCTCATGGACTATTATCATCTTTGTAAATAATTGGCTTTGAGCGAAAACATTCTGATTCACCAAAGCTCCTCTATTCTCAAAGATGGAATAAACACGCTCCATTTCAGCTGTTCCCATGGTCATTCTTTCTCTTGTCCACCTTGGCGCTGGACTGAGGTCTCTAGGTGAAACTGATCACTTGTCTAGAGCAACTGCTCAGCAAAAGCGAAAGCTGACATTCAACCTGGAGACTGAAAATTCCACAGGTCAACTTTCTCTTGCAGGTCTTCATAAGGTTCTTATTCACTTGACCCCACGGGGGCAGAACTTACAGCGACAAAGGCTTGTGAATTCCGGGGAGACGGGTTGCTTTACTGCTCCCTCCCTCATACATGATGACAGAGGAGTAAGGGGACCCAGAGCACAGCTGTGTCCCTGACGGAGACACGTGAGCTACATCAGACAAGAGCTTTGTTAGCTTCTTTCCAGAAGAAGTACAAAGTCTTGATTCTGCTATCAGAATGCTTCGTTGTAAGGTGTAGGAGAAACGCCATTCAGTTATATTAGTCAATGGGTCGTTTCCAGAGTGTCCTGAACCCAGGCTCCCTGATGTCTTCCTAAAGAATGGGCAACTATGGAACAGTTGTGAGATTGCAATCTACAAAGTAATAGTATCTGTGAAGATGGATGATGGTTAGGCAGTTTAATATTGGACACCTCACCCAAAATACTGCCCTGCCTTGGAGAAGCCCACACTGACGTGGACGGGTCCTTCTGCGTCACCGCGGTGGGTGCTCACGCTGTGTGTGGAGAGACTGCCATCTGGGAGGACCTTGTGTCGCAGGCTTGCATCACCGTGTGCTCAGCTGTCGATTCTGAATCCGACTTCTGTTCCTTCCAGACCACTTCAAGGACATTTGAATGAGTGTGGTGAGAAAATAAAAACAAAAACAGGTTGGAGCCTTTGCCTTCAGATCCCCAAACTCAGAAGAAGAAAGTTTCGTCCTTCTCCTTCATGAACAACCACAATTTTCAATTAGTTAGACAAAGAATGCTCGTTTTCGTATACGAAACGTATTTCTTGCCAAGCGGATGCTTCTTACATTTCCAAAAATAAATATTAGAGAAACAAAACTAAGGAGATTTAAAACATATGAAGCCCAATGAAAAAAATATAAATGTTAAAAATGGCAATTCTTCAAAGACTGTTTTATACAGGTTTTTATGTATTTCTTTTAACAAGAAACAACTTGAGAGGTGTCGTGTATGAGTGAGTTGATGTAGGCTCATAATGACCGGCACTTTTTGATATGGGTACTTTAGGTGAGAAAGCAATGCGAGAATAAGAAAATTATATTTGAAGTGAAAATTTCCTCATGTTTGTTTGTCATAAAGGTCCTATTGACTGCAGGTATTCATTCCCTTTGTCAAACAACTTTTAGTGAGTTTTTATATTCAACTCTAGGTAGATTGTGTTATACACCACTAGATGGCACCATGCGCAAGGACTAGGTTTCCCCTTCCAAAGGAAGTAGCCTGTCTTCCCACACAAGCTAAATAGGTATGAAAGGCAAGACGGGTCACAGAAAATGGTTGATGAAGTGGCTCCCTTGAAATGAACTGTTGGACTGTTGGCTCTAGCAAGCTAACTGCGATTACTTTTTTCCAAAGAAGAAGGAAATCAGAATTCATAGTGAAAATCATTTGACATAAGTGGTGTGTTGAATGTATGGAAGTTGCCATTCACTTCATAGGAAACATACCAGGGTTCTACAGCCGATGACAGATGACAGATGAACGCCTTGCTCATAAAGAGTCGACCACTCTTCCTGCTTCTGGTGCTGGGACGCTGAACCAAAAACCACCAAGCATTCGAAGTGAACGCCAAAGGCCCTCCATGGCTTTGATACTGCGATTCCTGCTATGTTTAATATTTCTGCATTGATGACTTTTTAATGACTTTTTTTCCAGTTCAAGTTTTGAATTGATTATCTGGATAGCTGCATTTTGCTCCTCTCCACTTTTCATAAGCGTGGAAGTTCCTTTGAGAATCCTTCAGATTTCTAATTCTCAATTTCCATAGATGACAACCCCCCAAACCAGTAATGGTGAGCAATCTTGAAAAGATATTTCAGGATGCAGCAATGGGTGATAGCTCTCTTTTCTCTTCCATTTTAAAAAATATATATTGAAAAAAATTTTAATGTAGAATACAATTTTACTGTCTTTTGGTCAACTATGCATTGGTACAGACATTTTCCACTGAACTTGTTTCATTAGTGCAATCTTTCCTTTTCATGATGAATGTAACATATTTATATATATGGTGCAGGGGATGGCCCGAGAGAGACAGATTATAGAATACATGCCCCAAACAGAAAACAAGAAATAAAGAACGTGAAAGAAAAGGCTGATTACCAGAATATCAATATTTTCTCAATGATGAGGATGAAGGGGACCTGGAAATATCAAGAAGTCATCAAAATAGCCAGGGGATAAAATATATGTGGAAAGAAGGGAGAATATGGATAAACTTATTTCTAATTCAAATCCATTCAGCAACCTGGATACCTCTAGCCCAAAGGTAAATAAATGGCAGCCATGTTTTGAAGTTTCTCATTCACACAGATGGGTTCTTGTTTTTCAGTCTTGGTTTGGCTACTGGGCTGTTGACTCTATTCCCCACCTGCTGAATGAATGGAGTCCCTGTGGTAAAACAAAAGGCTTGTGATGGTTCTAAGGAAATACCATAGTTTACACAAAATATTCTCTTGCTGAACTATTTTTCAGTTAAAAAAATTTTAATTAACAAATTTTTGACCAAGACAAGGAATAGAACATAATTTTTCTACTAACCAGGAAGGCAAATGTTCCCAAGAAAGGAAAGAAAGTGATGATTAAAGGATGCCATCTCTCGGTGAACAGCATAATTCAATGACACAAAGACAAGACTTGAAAGCCTAACAAATATGCTACAGATTAAAATAATTATCTTCCAAGTTGGAACTATTTGAAAGGCATAATGCAGCCAGGACCAGAATCTAGCTGTACTGGATCTCGAAGTGATCCCGCTCAGAGTCCACCGTGGTCTTCACACTGACGAATGAGACTGGAGTGGAGGGCCAGCATCTTAGACCTTGAGAGTATCTGATCCCACCCCTGTATTTACCGGTGAGGAAACCGAGGTCTAGTGAGGTTAGACGACTTTCCCAAGGTAGCAGAGCCAGACAGTGACAAACCCAGAATGAGAACTGGTGTCCTGATTTCCAGTTCAGAGGCTGTTCTTCCAACCACGCTGCCTCTAAGGGAGACAGAATCTGAGGGGAGTCGATGCGGGGCCATGTGACCCCGATAGCAAGTGGACTTGAAGAGAGAACTCCGAGGAGAAAGACCCGCCTGAGCAAGCTGAAAGAACAGACCGACACAGCCAGTGAGCATTTATACCTCTGGGGCGGAGCGATGGGAAAAGATGGAAGGTCAGGGACCAATGCCTGCGCAGTTAAACTGGTGCCCACGCCCACCTGGTTACGGGAGAAGGTGAGGCAGGTCGAGTCAACACCTAAATACTAACAGTACTGCTAACAAAAACAGAAGTTAAAAGAAAATCCTTTTACTAGAATACTCGTAAATACTCATCAATAATAATAATGATGATACCTTTAAAAAAAAAAACACTTCAAATTGCATACTACAAACACACATATTGTGAAGAAATGCTTATTTGTGTGGTTGAACATGAATCACTGTCTTTCCTGCAATGCTACAGCTTTATTCCCAGAGGCACCGCATGGGTGTCTTCAAGGAACAAGGAGTCGTCGTTATTTCTCCTTTACACTTAGATTCTCCACTTCCCTGATGCAAACAGAAACACTGGTTTTACCAGTTCTAGAAACAGAACACTGATGCACATGATTTGTAGCGAAAGCCTGTGATTTCTCTGTAAATTACTGATCTGAAATAGACACGACAAACCATCCACAGCTTCAACTTCAAATGACTTGAACAAAAATAGAACGAGCCATGGACAGTGTCTGCATCCCTGTCCAATCTGATGTAAACAACGTTTGTAGAAATTGGGTTTGTTAAGAAAGTTTATCCATATATCTGGATAGCAATAAAAAGCGTTTCCTAGGAAACTGTAAGATCCTGTACCACACAGCATACAGCCCAACAAAGAGGAAAATAAGGTTGGTTTCTAGATTCAAGGTACAAATGTACACAACTGTTCTTAACTCCTGTGATGACGTCCCATGAAGGGGGCGTGTGTATCGGTAGCCGCATCTGTTTTCCTTCTCTCTCCTGCCGCCCTCGCACCGTGAAGCTCGTTGGTCTGGTCTGGATTTCCTCCTCAGCTGTGATCCCCTGGACGGCCAGACTCCCTGTGCATTCTTGTCCTTCGTGGTCAGTCCTGGCGTGGGTCAATACTGTCCTTCTGCTGCTAAAGACACGACTGTTTCATGTCTTCCCATTTCTTCCAGGACGGCTGCCAGCATGCTCAGGTTTCCATCCGGGAAGTTCTGCGCTTCCCAGAGATCCAGGATGACTCCAGTGGGGCTCGATTTGGTGGCAAAGTAGTTCAAGTACCTGGAGTTGGGAACGGGCAGATGTGCCGGCTGGCATGATTTACAGATCTCTTTTCTCTTTCCTTCTTACTACCCCCTACTGGGTCCCCATGTGCCTGGTAAGTGTCTAGGTCCCACTTGAGAGAGAAACTGTGGTTTACAGGGAACTAGCCTATACTTAATTAGATCAGTCCCAGGCAAGAGACGTAATGTTTAACTTTGTTAACCTCAACTCCGAGTACAATAATTTAAGAGACAAGATGTGTATGGGTCATATCCTAAACAGGAAATCAACAGACTTGTGTTTTCTCTCCAGCCCGGGCTCTGATCATCTTTGACAGGTCGTGCCCTGTCTTCTGCTTGGTAGTGATGGCAACATTTTACAAAGAAGAGGCTTCTGAGGTCTCTTTATAACTGAACGTCAGTGCTGTGCTTTACATATTAGTGACTCATGCAGCTGTAGGTCCTGCTCCACAGGAGATGGAGAACAATAATTACTTTAGTGTGTGGATACATCACTTAGGGGGATTCAGCCCATCAGCTTTGCTTTGTCGAGAACGTCTCTCAACAATGTGTTTGCAAACTCACAGTGCAAGGTACAAAGAAGAAGCCTAATACATATTTATACAATGAAAGTAGATAGATGTATGGATTAAAAATAATAATAATAATAATGCTGCCCAATGTCTAAACGTTATCAGCCTGGAGCCCTATGTCTAACAGAAACTAGTCCCGGAGCCTGGCCATACCCACCTGTCCAGGTTTAGCTTATGGGCCAGCATCCTCCAGTCGTGACCTCTTGTCTGGGGGGCATCCAGGCTGCTGCAGAGCTTCTGCCGGATAGGGGGAGGGATGCTGAACGCACTGGGTCCGGTCATGGTGGTGATGGTGCTCGCTGGGTCCAGCAGAGGCAGATCGATGCCAGTCGGTTCCTGTAGTTCAGACACAGGAACAACAGAGCATTATCTCTGAAGACAAAAGCAATCCCTGCAGAGCCAATCACCATAATGCCTTGTTCTGAGCAACGAGAAGGGAATGGGGGCTATTATTCTTCCTGGTAGGAATGGCTCCTTCCTGGCGGAAAGTTGTGATGAGCTATCTTCAACCTGGCTGAGAGGAAGAGGTCCGTTTTGAGCTGACTTTGCGTAGCCCTGGATTTACGGGTGAACAGATCTCACACAGATCTCAGATTAGAGGCCAAAAGTTCAGAGCTTCAAGAAACTGTCTGACCCTGAGGGGAATGCCCTAGGCAAGTGCCCAAGTAAATTCTTGCTCTAACCTCTGCAGAAGATGGCTTGGTTCTGCTTTGGTCGAATGAATTGGAACACAGCTTTCCTCTAAATGATATCAAATTAAGACTAATTTTTTGAAGAAAATGGTGAACACAGTATATCGCCTTAGGGAAAGCTGCTAATGGCACCCTCCAATTGCTGTACACCCTTATTTTTTTAATCTAATTTTAGCAGAGAAAACTATAAATTGGCTTTTAAAATAGTTTCAGCTCATAAAACAGCACAAATGCAAAATCTGAATTTCATCCGTAGGAGAAACTCTAATCATTTTCTGATCTTCTGCTGGTTGGAAAAGCAAAAGCAATTGTTGCCTGGGAACTATTAAAGCAATAATAGAAAATCTCCTTAATCTACTTTAAATGTCACCTCTCTCTGTCTCTCTTTTTAAAGCAGGTAACTCCTTGGTGTGCATAATAGTTGCTAGAGGATAAACTAGCCACACACAGTTTCAGCCTTCAAGGAGACTCTGGTATCTTGCAGGGCTCAGCTCGGGTCAGTTCCACCATTGCCCAGAGTCCCCAAACCGTGCTGCTCCTGTACTGCAGGGGTTGGGGGTCGCTGCTGCCTGCGCCCCCGTGTTGACTGACAGCGCGTCTTGCGTTCTGGGACCAGCAGCCAATGTTCATTGCTAGGCTTGTGTAATCTCACGGCACAGGGTCCACGCACATGTCAGAGCTAAAAAAAATATTTTATTTGCAGTAATACACATATCTACCATCAAAGTATTTGGCTTCAAAACCCAAACATTGGCAAATTGAGACTCCTAGGACTCGGTTTGCTCCCCTGTGTTAACTCCAGCAGCACCCGCCAGGATTTAAAAGACTGGTATGAATGCAGACACAACAATGGGAGCGGGGTTCCCATTGTTCCCTTCAGTGGGAATGAAGACACGACGTGCACCGGGCACGGAGCTCCTTCCAAGGGGCCATGAGGGGAGAGGGCCCCTGGTCTCACGGGCATAGGGCTTAAACAAGGGGGACCATACGGGCTATCCCAAAGCACTTGGCATTTATCAATGGATTTATGTTAAGGATGTCTGAACCCAGGTGCCCAAACTGAGATTAGACATAAAACGATGCGTGTTTGGGTTGGGGAGGTGGAGCCGAAGAGAAATCACATGGTATTTCCACAACTTAGTGCCACCAGCCACATTGAGGTCCTGCTTGCTTCTCATGTGGATATGAATGCAGGGTCCAGAAGGAAACCCGCCATGTCTCTCAAATGACCCGCACCCTGACTGTCCTTCGCTGGCAACTGAGGTTAAGATCTCGCAGAGAGGAGTCTGCTTTGCACAGTGCTGTCCCCAGAGATTCCTGTTGCTGTCGGTCACAGTAATTCCCTCCTGCTTCCCTGTGATCCGTCTCTGCCTGCCACTCTGGTCTTCCTAAAGCACCAAGCTGGTGTTTCTCCCTCACCCCCATTTAGAAGCACTAAATGCCCCTCCTACCACACGGAGCCCCAACTTTTAATCAGGCAGTGAGGGGCTCATCGGCTGGTATGAGCTCCCGGAGGTGATGCCCACATGGAGCAGGGCCCCTAACAGTCTTTCTCAGGTTGCCTCGACATGACTCAGACTCTGCTCAGACCAGATCACTCACCGTCCCTAGCACCTCTTTTTTTTTACTTTTTTTTTTTTTTATCCTCACTCGAGGACATTTTTTTGTTCAGGTAGAGTGGGAGGGAGAGAGAGAAACAGAGAGAGAGAGAGAAACATCGATGTGTTCATCGAGTGGCTGCCACCCGCACGACCAACCAGGGCCGGGGACAAACTGCAACTGAGGTACGTGCCCTTAGCGGGAACCGAACCCGGGTCTCTCAGGACCGCAGGTCGACGCTCTAACCGCTGAGCCAAACCAGCCAGGGCCCTAGCACCTCTTTCAAGGGTGTACCTCTGATGGTCCTTTCCTTCTGCACTTTCCTTTCATGTGTGGCAGTCAAACTCCTCAATGTCTGGATCAAAACATGTCCCCCGAGCCTGCCCTGAGCAGACGCACCCTCAGCGCTTCCCACAGAGTCGCACGGTCCTGGAAGTCTGCCCTGCGCACGCTGGGTGCGTTTATATGTGACTTCCTTCGAGTGCTCAAATTTCTAAGAGATGAGTGCATTTGTGTCATTTTCAGAACTCCTGTGGCACTCAGCACAGTGACTTGCACATGGAAGCTGTCCACATTATATTTGCTAAAATGGAAGAAAATATTTTTCCTAGTACAGAACGGGTCTAAAACCTGTTTTGGACAGAAGCCACCCCATAGAGCGGTGTGTGAAGCATCCTTGCAGCGAAACGTGGCTGAGAATATGGTTCTTCCCGCAGTGAAGTCCTGGAGGCACAGGCCAGGTAAAGTAGGTGTGGCTTTCAGAAGTTCTGCTCACATACCACGTGGGCGTCCTTTCCCAGGGACTAGAGAACCATCAGCCCTTCACGTGGACCTTCCAGCTCTGACTCGCTAGCCCTGGCTTCTGTGCCTGTTCATGTCTTCGTGGATGAAACAAGTTCAGTAGGGCGTAATGTCGTCTCTCTTCTCAGACGGCTGACAAAAGCCGTAGAGGTGAAAGAAAAATACCACTCTACATTTACATTTCCTCTAGTAGTTTCGCTCGCTGTTAGTTCTTCCTCCACTTCCAGGTAAAAGTAGAGTTTGCTTTCACGGAATGCTTATTACAATCATCGTTTATGATCTGGGTCCCATCTGTCTTTGATGTTGTGGGTCCCTTAGTTAAGCATATGATTTTTCACCATTAACCAAACAGCTGCTATGGGTGATGGGACACATTCCAGCACTCACTCCACAGCAGATTCAATTCCGCTCCCACACTCTGACTCTTCCTGAAGTCAATTAGAAAACCCAGGGTTTCCCAATGGTCATTTGGAACAGATGATAGAAAACAGAAGGGGCCAATAGATGGCATGGCTACCGCAGACTGATGTTACTTTGTACATTTTTAAGATTATTCTCTGTGTACACAGAAGTGTCACATATCAATAGTTAATGGTTTTAAGGACTTTGTCTATACGAAAACTAAACAGAAGGCCTGAAGGGATGGTAAGTTTCTGTTCCCAACACCATTTTTTTCTCTCTTGATGGTGATGGGCAGCTTCCCTATTATTACCTCCCCCAACCCTCTAAAAATATTTTATCATTTGCATTTTGACATTCATTCATGCCCATACTTTTCAGACATTTTCATGCTTAAACTTCATCTCCGTGAAGCTAACGGCTTTGTTTCTAGCTAAGGAATCTCTGGCCAAAGCACGTGGAGAGGAACGATTGGCCGGCTCTTGACATCACCAGGGTCTATGTCAAGCACAGCCTGGTCTCCTGGGGGGCAACGTCCTCAGCCTGACTAGAGAGGCCGAGGGCCATGTCACTTTGTAAATAAGTGCTGGCGAGGGGGTTGAGAGGTGGGTGGCTGGGGAGGGGAGCTGCACACCCCGGCAGTCAGCTCATTCTTGGGAGACAGGATACTGCACCTGCAACCCCAGTCCACCTGCCAGCTTGTGGGGTGACCCTAGGGAGGAGCCCCGTGAGAAGAAAGACACCAGAAATGAAGCTTTTCCTCTGTTCCTTATGGTTTATCGGTCACAGTGTACCCCTTCTAAGAGCTTCTGATGAGGATCCGGGTCTCGGGGCTCTCCAGGGCTGACGGTGCAGGGCTGAGCTTCCTTCCCCAACCTCAGAGCCCCGCCCCACACGCCCCCCTCGGTGGGCGCCTGCGCCGCATTCAAATGCCAACAACAACGGTGGGACTCGGCGACCCAGAAGTAAAGGCAGCACGGTGCCCCTTAATCCCCAAAGTCACCGGACTGCGGTCCTCCCGCCCCGCCCCCTGCGGACACCCCCCCCCACCCCCACCCCCGGACCAAGGCCTCGGACAAGACCGAAGGGCTGGCCTCTCTGAGCTGACTGCCCCCAAGCTGCAAAAGAAACCATCGTGTCCTCTCTGCTGTCACCAGCACGTCCTTACAGCGCGACCGCCCTACGCAGAACCGCGGCCTTCGGCAGAGGGAGGGCGCGGCCCGGCGGGAACAGCCCTCCAGCCCCTTTCATTCGGCGCATCTGATCCACCTTTCCTCACACAGCAAACGTCCGCTGCACAGAGAGCGGGCATCAAAGCGGCAGACCTCGTCGCCCCTCCAAAGTCCCGCAGCCTTTGTTGTCCCCGGAGCGGGGTGGTTATTGAACTTTGCAGACCTGCTGCGCCTGCAGCGGGAAACACCCGGAGCCCGCAGGGGTGGCGCTGTGCCCGGAGACGGGGCCGGCGCCCGGCCCGCGGTTGCCATGGCGCCCTGACACCGAGCTCATTCCCCATGAATGTCACCGCGGCCTGTGACTAAAGTTGTTTATGAGTCCAAAGTCTCCTGAAACTACGGGAGGAAAGGATGACTGCGCCCGCCAGGCTGTGGGAACGAGGGATGGAGCGGCACCGGGGCGGACACGCTTCACCCCGAGGTCTGCTGGGGAAGACGATCTTTACACACAACATGTGGAGAGAGACGCGGTGAACATCCTGACATTCATTCCTCACTGTGCACGAGGCAGCGAGCGAGAGGGCGTCTTTTCAATCGCACGCTGTCCCGCTGCAGGGTTAAATACGACCTTCTGCGGCCGCGATGCTCCTCTGACCCCGGTACCCCACCGCCTCTGTCCCTCCTGCAGGAGGGTCCCCGCTCGGCCTGCACCTCGGGCCCAGGAGCTGATAGGTTCGTGCACACGCCCTCTTTGCACACAGAGGTTATAAATAGCAGCGCTGGCTGCTATTTCTGTCGCGGGGACCTACAGAAGTGCGCAACGGGACTGAGTGAGGAGCACAGCAGGGAAAGGCTAAAGGATGGCAGCTAGCTAGTGGGAAATGCGCGGATTTTACTTCTATTTCTGGAATTTTCTCCTATGCTGGAACCGGGGAAGAGGGCATCTTCTCTTCTCGTTTTTAATTCTTATCTTTATTGAGGTATAATTGACATAGAACATTGTATTCATTTCAGGTGTGCAACATAATGATGCAATATTTGTGTAGATTGTGAACTGATCACCACACAAAGTGTGGTTAACATCTGTTCTTATATATCTTATTTTCTTGTGATGAGGACTTTTAAGATCTACTCTCTTACCAACTTTTAAACATGCAATACCTTATTATTAACTATAGTCACCATGCTATACATTACATCCTCATGGCTTTTTAAAAAAATCCTCACCCGAGGACATTTTCCTATCTATTTTCATACAGAATTGGGAGGGAAGGAGGGAGGGAGGGAGGGAGGGAGGGAGGGAGAGAGAGAGAGAAATTCAAGAGAGATTCATCGATTGGTTGCCTCCCACACAACCTGACCAGGGCCGGGGATCAACTGCAACTGAGGTACGTGCCCTTGACCAGAATGAACCCACGACTCTTTGGTCTGTGGGCCAGCTCTCTAACCACTGAGCAACTGGCCAGGGCATGGCTTACTTTTTAATAACTGGAAATTTGTACTTTTTGACCTTCCTTACCCATTTTGTCCACCCTCCACCCCTGGCTCTGGCCTGTCTTCTTGTATTTGGAGAATGATGTGTTAGAGAGAAAGGAGGCCAAGAAATGTCTCCTTTCAACAAGGAAGAAAAGGGAGAGAAGAAAAAAGGGGAGAGAAGAAAAAAGGAGGGTCAGGTGCAGAGGCCAGTTTCTCTTCCTCCACCCTGGGCAGCACAGGAGGAGGCCAAGGTAGGCTGGCCCCCTGAGGAAAGGGGGGGGAGTGTGGCTAGTCAGGTGCTTCGGGAAAAGTTACTCCATGGCACAGAACTTAAACCTTATATTTGGAATTCGGATCTGTGGGACAAGGTCAGAACATGATCCTCACATTCATATCATAAAAAAAGTAAAAGATTTGTTTTTCAAAAAGGATTCCCTATTCTTTTATGTATCTAGCTCCCTGTGTTCATTAAAAAATATCGGTCTATTAAAGGACCTGTAGAAAGCTTTCCCAGGTCTTCCCACGTGGCCTGTATTGAGATACCTTTATGCTGCACACGGTGCCTCCTCCCCGTCAGTCCTCCCCCGATTTCGGAGACGCACAGAGCTCCTCACCTCGGAGACAGTGCAGTTGAGCTGGAAGATCTGCCCTTCTCCTTCCACCTGCCGCACACACAGCTTGCACACCAGCTCCGCCGTGTTCAGGCTGAATCTTTCCAGAGTGAATGTGCAGTGGAGGTTTCTCTGAGACCCACTCCAGATATGGTAAAAAGGAATTTCCTAAAGGATATAAAAGTGTGAACCACGCACGAGTGACTAATACCGACAGGAACTACCCGACACTGGGCTGCCACGTGCTCTTCTCAGTGTTGCACATGTAACCTCCTTCAATCACGACAGGCCTGCCTAGAAATACATCCCTAACCCTTTTCAAATGGAAAAGCTGAGGCCCAGACATGTTAAATATGCCAGCCAAAGCCCCACTGCTAGTAAATGGCAGAGTTGAGATTTGAACCCAGCAAGTCAGCCTCCAGAATCTATACACCTAATCAGTCTGCCACTTGTGTCTCATTAAAAAAAAAAAAAAAAAAAAAAATCCATTGTAAATGGTTTCAATAAAACCTACACACTCCAGTCATTGCTCATTAAAAGGGATCCCTGCCGTGGTATTCCAGAGACAAGCAAAGAAGCTCTGAAGGACAGCGGGCTGATCCAGTTCCTTTTCATGCCCACAGTCTCCGTCTGCACAGGCCGGGGAAAGGCAACAGCACTGCCGTTGGACACTGTGGACTCGGTTAGCAGCCGCTGACAAGCCCGTGGCCTAAACACCACTAAGCCTTGCTCTGGCCGGTTTGGCTCAGCAGTTAGAGCGTCGGCCCGCGGACTGGAGAGTCCTGGGTTCGGTTCCCACTAAGGGCACGTTGCAGTTTGTCCCCAGCCCCGGTTGGGGTTGTGTGGGTGGCAGCCCTTCGATGTTTCTTTCTCACATCGATGTCTCTCTCTCTTTCTTCCTCCCTCTCTCCTTCCCGCTCTAACTGAAGACAAATGCAAAAATGTCCTCTGGTGAGGATAATAAAAAACAAAAACAAAAACAAAAAAAGCCACTAAACCTCTAACAGACATACATTCTCAAAAAGTCTAGACCACCTTACAGAACCCACCCTAAAATCTTTTTTTAATAAAGGAAAGGAAAGGTTGATACATACAAAATGGATGGATGCCGTGGTTAAGAGTGGAGGATAAAGTGCAAACGAGAGCACGCTCCCCTCACCTAGTGGTACTTCGGGGCAAGTCCCCTAAGCTTTCCTTGCCTCCGGCTCCTCATCTGCGAAGGAGCAGGCAAAGGAGTACCGAAGGCACACGCCGGCCGGCCTCAGAGGAGACAAACAACGGGCACGAGTGTCTGGCAGAGGGTAAGAATTCCCCCAGACTTAGTTTGAACTAATATCAGATTATCACTATTATAAAAGTACTATTTTCCATTATGATTGCACACAGGAACTTGTTAATAAAAGGAGAAAAGGAACTTGTTCAAAAAAGATCTGTGGGCTTTTATGGCAGTTGCAAAATAAGGAGAAGAAAATACAGGAAGAGATTTAATGAGAAAATTAAGAGCTAGATCTTCAGATAGAGCGGGAGGGAGAGAGGAAGAGAGAGAGAGAAACATTGATGTGAGAGAGACACATCGAGTGGCTGCCACCCACACCATCCCAACCAGGGCCGGGGACAAACTGCAATCGAGGTACATGCCCTTAGCAGGAACCGAACCCAGGACTCTCTGATCCACGGGCGGACACTCTAACTGCAGAGCCAAACTGGCCAGGGCTGTTCTTATTTTTGTTACGAATGCATTTTGAGGCTTTTTAGAATCAATCCAATGTAAACATTTACGCTGAAAATGTAATGGGGGGACTTGGAAGTCTTATTTGCTAAAAATAAAAGAATGGTGGTTCAGTTATTGGAAGGATAATCAACTAAAAAGCATTCCTTCACATATATCTAGAATGTTTTTCAAAAATCCTAAATAATCCCAAATTATTTTGCAGAAACAAGTGATGTGCATACGTCAAGGAAGGGAATCTTATGTTTAAATAATTTTAGTCCTCTTTCATGGAGCTGCCTCCAAGCCTTTATCATCTTGGGCGCCTTACCTGATACTTAGCCAGCAGTTTGCTCTTCCAGAGAGAATGGGCGACGTCGTGAATAGACAGGCGCAGGTTGTGGGTGCTGCCTTTGAAATGAAGGGCCTTGGGTTCTTCTAGGAGCTGTCCTCCCATCTGTCTCTCAAGCTGCAAAACTTCCTGCAATGACATGGCCCAAACCAAAAGCAAATTACTTAAGTGGATCACTGCCATCCGCTCTCTCTTCAAAAGAGTATTTTCTCAATGCGACTTCCCCCGCTCTGCTAACATGTGATGTCCACTTCTGCAACCCTGAGATCCTTGGGCTGAAGCCCCTGCCAGTGTGTGGCTGGACCCTACTGACCACTTTCTGTGTTTCAGCAATCACACTGTTGGTCCAAATTCAGTACATTCTGCACTTCCTGACTAACAATCAGAATACTTATTCACTTACAAGAAAATAAACATAAAAGCCCCAAATTGAAAAACCCACATCAAAGAAAAAATAGGTGGAAATATGAATAGATAAGTATGTAGATTGTCAGTGAACTTTTAGGGAAAGGTGTAAATAACTAGAAGACAAACCCGTGTCTTGGATTTGGTAAAACCAGCTCGTGAACAAAAATTTGGAACGTGCTTTGGGCATTCCCCCCCCACCCAATCTTTTGTAGTTTCTTTACCTACAGAAATAAAATAGTAACATTTTTCTTCAAATGATCCATTGCACAAATCAAATGATCAAAAAAATTAAAATACGCTCATTATATGTCTTGTAAGAGGAAAATATACTGATGTAGATGAGGAAGATTTCTCAGAAGCATCAAATATTGAACTAAACAGTTACTCAGATTAAATTTTGAAAAGAACATCTCAAGAACTGTGGCTGATCAAAAAAATTGCTGTTTAACTTTACTTATACTATAAAGATGTAAAACGAAGACAAATTCTATATATACTTCCATCTCTCAAGCTAGTTAATGGGAGTTAATGAAGCATTTCCAACTACAGCTGCAATTATCCAAACAGCATCTAACCATGAGTTATCAATGAACAAAATACCTGGGGTCTCCTTTGCTATCTGAACTGCCCCTGTGCACACTGTGTTCCCCCCATGCTTTAAAAGTTTTAGTGATGTAAATATGTAGGTAATTCACAACCTTTATTTTTTTTTATATAGAAGTTCAAGAAAATAATAGATTTTATAAAAATATAATTTTCTTCTTTGGTGAGATTTCCATGGAAAACATGGGGTTCAATAGCACAGGCCATTTCACACCCATGTATTGGGCACCTACCAGGGTACCAAGCACAGATGGGTCACAGTGGAGAATTGTGGGTATGGAAACCAAACTGGTTCAGTAAGTGCAGAGCTCACCAACATCATTGATTAGATGTAAGCAGCTCATTTTAAGCTACTTCTTTAGTGGTTCTCAGCATCCATCATTTCTGAGTAGGCCACTATTCTGAACAATGCAAGCTGCTGAAGGGACCTATGAGGTGTAGGATATATTAGGATCACATGGAATGGTCTCAGACAGGCACTCCTCTAATTAGTGTCTAATGGAAGAGATGAGGCAATAGCACATTGACGGAAAGATGAGCATGGTCCAGCTGCTTGAGAATATTGACGCTGAGATTATTCAACATTGCTGGCTGATGAGTAGCTATTACTTGTGACAGGAGACTGAGCAGTCAGCCAGCCCCCAACCAGTCAGTTGGCCACCCAGACACATATGTTGTGTCACCGTGCCCTGACTCTGCTGTGCCTGCGGCTCAGCAGGCTCTGAGGGTCCCCAGTAGGCTGCACAGATCCACCCAACCCAGAGTCACACATGCTCCTCATGGACCTCCCACCACACTTCACACTCCATTCCTGGACAAGAGCCTGGCCATGTGGAAATGAAGATGAATAAGAAAAGTGAGGGTTAATTGCAGTTCCTTTTGCTTCAGCAGGAAGGCATAATGAGCTTATGTTGATCATGTTCATGTTCAGTGTCTAGTTAGCATAATAGAGAAAGCTGATGTTCCCAGTGAACCTGGCACCTGACAAATTCTAAAGCCAAAATGATGTTTGTTTATAAGCCATTAGAAGAAAAGTAACATAATTAGAAATCTTTGAGATTACAGTCATGCCAATCAATCAGTTCTAGCTTCTTTCCAGTATACCCTAATTACCTCATCAAGACGTCTAAAGATCAATCGATAGTAATTATCTGATTACTATAGATCTTCATTATGTCCAAATTATCTCCCTGGGATGTCTGAAAAAAGATGCATTGTATTCCGGGAGGTAATTGTACCCAACAATGTATAATCCACACCCCACTCTTACAATCAACATAGCTTGCAGAGGAAATAGAGAGCATTGTCAGCTTTCTTGGCAGGGAGGACAATTGAAAAAAAAGCTAAATTGCCTATTGGCCATGACCTTGAAGTCAAGAAATCTAATACCATGTTTCGAGCACAAAGTCTGGGTTGGAGTCAGCCCAAGAATAAGGCTCAGTCCTTGGCTTTGGCCTTGACCTCAAGTCATGGTAAAAGAGCTCTCCTTAGGGGGGAAGGGCACTGGGCTGGCTTGAGCCCTTCTATTTTGAGAGAAAGTCCCAAATAAAGTGCCATTTTATTTTACTTCTTAAAATTTTATTTTTGTAGTTCTTTCTTTTTTTTTTTTAAAGTTACAGAATATTAATTTGTATTTGTTTCAGGTGTGCAGCACAGTGGCTAGACATGTATTTATGAAGTGATCCCCCTATAAGTCTAGTGCCTACCTGGCACCATACGTAGTTAATACCATTTTGTTGACTATATTCTCTGTGCTAGAAATAAAGAGCCATTGTAGACAATGAGACCAGAAAACACGCTTTCCATGTCCCTAAGCTCTCCATCTCTCCACCAGCCAGGAATGACAGTGCTGCTGTCATTGTGTCCCCTGCGATGGGACACAAGCCCCGGTGGGAGCTGAGCTGCGCATCACGCTTAGCGATCCATGCCTCCCTCAGCGGTCTCTCAACACACTGATTGCACATGCCCATCGGTCACAACTTCTGAGCGTGCATTTTGTATGTTTCTTTATAAATGATACATCTATATTACTACATCAACATGTTAATGTATTATAAAATATAAAGTTAAAAGCATGAACTAAGACAAACGCAGAGAATTCACGTTGTTGCTGTTGTTTTGGGTTTTGCCCCTGGGCTCAGTGGGCCCGGGGTGCGGGGACTCCAGTGAAGACTGCAGGCCAGGCAACTGTGCTTTCTCTCCTGCCTCTGGGTAGGAGTAAGTGACTCCGTTAAAATAATTCTTACCGAACTTAAATGTTTTTGTTTTTATCCTGAAAAGTAACAACTGGCATCATCACACTCAAGGTGCTCAACTCCAAGGAAACAACAAAATAAAGGAAAAGATGATAACCAAAACACAAATTAACATATTAACGTGGACACCAACGATACTGCCATTAATAAGTCAAACAACTCCTTGACAACTAAGGTCATCTACAACCAAACCCGGGTCGGAGATGAATCGCCGCATGAGCGAATCCTGTGGGTAGCCTCCGTCGGAGGACAGAGGAAGCAAGCCCCCTTGCCAGGCTAGTCAGGCTTTGATTCCCGTAGTGATGGTTTAGGTATTATAATTTGAGATATTTTATAGCCGATCCTACTTAGAAATACTGTAACTTGTATTTCAGAAAGCTGGATTTTCGAAATTCCTTCTGCATGAATCATTTTGGTCATTATACATATGATACAGATAAGTGAGAGAACATAAAAGTAACAGATGTCGGAATTAGTAAGATATAGCTTCACAGTTAAATGCTTTCCTTTCCTTAATCTTCCTGGGTGCATTCACTCAGCATCAACGAAGCACTCGATGTCTGCAGGAACCGTGCCAGGCTCTGGGGCACACAGACAAGCGAGCCCCAGTGGGTCCCTGTCGCAAGCCACTCAGGGACCATGGCAGGGAGCCCCACAGAGAATATGCAACCCCAGCACAGTGTGCTCAGCTCCAAGACAGCTTCCTGACAGGCTGCTTTTGGACCCAACCATTAGGATATTTCATACAACTTGAAAGAGAAAAGGAACAAAATATATTTAAGGTCAAAAGATTTAGGAAGACTTAAGAAAAATATCATGACTTTGGGGAAAAAAATGCCATTAAAGGAATGAGGATCATCTAGGCTCTTTGTTCTCAGAAAAATACATGTCACCTTCCTTTGCCAAGGCTGTCCTTCCCCGGGGCAGCGCCCCGCCGCGGTGCCTTGTCTGGCTCTAGGTGACTCCCTGTTGCCCTGATTTGCTCGCTCTGCTCCTACAGAAGAGGTCGCTCTCTGACTTCTGGCGTTGGTTCCATTTCCACCCCTCAAAAGATTCTCTGATGGGTCAGTTATCAACAGAGGTGTCGCGAGCCCATTGCTTCACAGGTGCATACACACTGGACCCCCAGTCGTCGAGTCCCCAGGAGCAGAGCCTGCTTCCCGTGGGGATCTGAGCCATCTGGCTGCTTCCCCGGCCCAGAGGCTGCCCAACCCAGGCAGGCTGAGGGCTGCATCGATTCAGGGAAGCCATGAGGGATTGCTCGAAAGGCAGGGACAAGGGCTTCCACAGCAGAAACAAGCAGCTTTCACAATAACCAATTAAACTAAGACATTATCCACGTCAAGCCATTAGCCTGGGCCACTTGAGAGCCACAATAAATCCAAGCTGTTTTAAAGGCCTGGACGTACAAAGGGAGCCCGTCTGGCCAGCACCCAGAGCTCGGTCCTGGGCTCTGAGAAGACAGGCTCTTCGCTCATTCAGGGCGGAGGGAACATTTTCCATTCACGGCGAGTGGGAGGAGCCCCGTGGCTCCTGGCCCGGTTCCCTAACCCAGACTGTGCAGTGCTGCTGGGTTAGATGCCTCCGCCTCCACAGCCACTCTCCTTCCTCCTCCTCCAGGTCCTGCCCAGTCTGGGCCAATTTCCCTTCAATGTCAGTCGCACTGAGCGCACCTGAGAGCCCCGGGCCAGAGCTGCTCACGCGGAGGTTCATGAAGCCTGTGTCTAAGGACGTGACCAGTCTCTGCCTGAGCGCAAAGCAGGGACTTGATGCTGGAAACTGGGAGGTGCTGGGGCCCTGGCTCTGTTCTCCACTCTGTGCTCAGCCTTGTCCCCTGATCACTCTCGTCCTGCTCAGGAACGT